AGGTGCAGTCGCTGCGGCTGATTAGGAGGTAGCCCACGCCGTCCAGGTATGACAGTAGTATTTGCTGATTTTGTTCCTGAATATCATTTTGATGGCATTTTTTTGTTGTGCAGGTACTCACTAGCAGTCTTCATCTGAGGAAGTCTGTCGTGGCGCAAGAGAAACGAATATAGGACGTATCCAAAGTCAACACCAGCCTGCGCCAAAAAGAGGCGGTGGCCCAGAAGGCCGAGCAGGAGTTTCAGCAGCGTTTGAGGGATAGCGAGCGGGAGTTGGAGCGGCTGAGGCGTGAATTGGCCGAGAAGACCGCAGAGATTGAGTCTCTGAGGGAGCAGTGTATTTCCATTGCCGATGACGCTATCATCAAGGCCCGCGATGAACTCATGGTTGAGTTCAAGGAAGGGAAGACTTCTCACTAGGATCCAGATGAAGACATCTAGCTCATGCGGGAGTTGCTGGAAGAGGGGGCCGGTCATCTAGGTTTGCAGGATGAGGGACAGATGCCCGACTTTACTAGTCAGTTGGGGCCATCGGATGTTGGGGATATGAGCGACCGGGCCACTCAGATTGGTGCTAGCGGTGCGGACATTATGACAGAGTCGGAGATGGAGGAGGCAACTCGTACTGAGGACAGTTAGTCTAGTTTTTTCTTTGTATTTTGGGGCCTACGATGCCCTTTTTTAATGGCGTGTGCTGTTCTTTTGTATTTTGAACTGAGCCATTTGGGGCTATCTATATTGTATTAAGTTGTTCTAGCTTTCAATGCTTTCTCCATGGATGAATGAGTTGTTCATTGTTTCTTCACTTGTAGATGCACCAAGTTGTGTTTGTTGTTTTTAGTGTGGCCCAACGGCTAGGGTATGTAAGCCTTGTGTTGGGCTAGCTTGGTGCTTTGCGTTTTGCTGGTGTAAGAACCATTTATTCGGTCTGGCTGACCGAGTATGAAATCTCTTGTGTTGGGTGAGGTCAACCCGGAGGTGCGAGATATTGGGTCGGTCGGGTCCGACTCAAAGGTGCGAGTTGTAGGTCAAGCTGAGCCGATTTGATGGTCTCTTCGTGGATCGGGCAAGGCCGATCCGAAGGTGTGATAACGTGGATTGAGCAGGGTCGATCCAAGGGGGTGATTCCGTGGATTAAGCAGGGTCAATCCAAAGGTGTAATTTCGTGGATCGAGCGGGGTCGATCAGAAGGTGCGATTTTGTGGATCGAACGGGGTCGACCCGAAGGTGTTCTTGTGAACCAAATGGGGTCGATTTGAAAGTGTTGAGCCGAGCTGGGTCGATTCGAAGGTGTATTCGTGAACCGAACGGTGTCGATTCAAAGGTGTTGTACTGAGTTGGGTCGATTCGAAGGTATATTCGTGAACCGAACGGGGTCGATTCGAAGGTGTTTTCGTGACCTGAGTTTGGTCGATTCGAAGGTGCAAAATCGTGGATCGGACAGGGTCGATTTGAAGGTGTAAACAACAATCGATCGACCCGAGTCGATTCAGAGATGCAATTTCTTGGATCGGGCATGGCCGATCTGAAGGTGTTTAACAATAAATGAACAACCATAGTCGATTTGGAGATGAAAGATTTCTGAATAATACTTCATTAATATTTGGCCATGAGGCCGACTGTCTAAGAGGAGATGGATAGGCTCACTCATCCCTTTTAAAATAACAAAAAGGAAAACAGAAAAAAGATAAGTTCACCTAGAGGTAGTAGCGTTTGACGTGAACGACATTCCAACTGTTATTGATGTCTTTGCCCTCGGGGTCTGGAGTTTGTAAGCACCCTTCCCTACTTCTCTGGTTATCTTGTAGGGGCCTTCCCAGGTGGGGTCGAGTTTGCCAGAGTTGATCTCTTTGGTGTTTTGGAAGACCTTGCGGAGGACCCAGTCACCTATCTTGGAAGTCCGGATCCTCATGTTGCGGTTCTAATGTCGGGCAGCCTGTTGCTAATAGATTGCGTTACGGATGCTCGCCCGTTCGCGTAGCTCGTTGATAGTGTCTAGGTTCTGGCAAAGGTTCTGGTCGTTTGATTCCTCGTCCGCCCATTGGAGCCTGGTGGACGAGACATACTTCGGCTGGGATGACTGCTTCAGAGCCGTATGTGAGGGAGAAGGGCGTCTTGCCCGTTGACGAGCGAGCTGTTGTTCGGTATGACCAGAGGACTCTAAGTAGCTCATCTGCCCATGCACCATTGGCTTTCTGTAACCGCTTCTTTAGTGTCTGAATGATGGTCTTGTTTGACGACTCGGCCTGGCTGTTAGACTGGGGGTTACAGGGGGTCGAAAAGCTCAATTTTATTCTCCACATGTCACAAAAATCCCTGAAGCCTGAACTAATGAACTGGGATCCATTGTCGGTGACGATTTACTTTGGTATGCCAAACCTGCAGATGACATTCTTCCAGATGAAGGCTTTTACCTCTCGGTCTCTGACTTGTGCGAAGGCTTCGGCTTCAATCCATTTGGTAAAGTAGTCGGTCACAGCTAACATGAAGACTCGTTGTCCAGGTGCAGTCGATAGTTTTCCCATGATGTCCATTTCCCACTTCATAAAGGGCCAGGGGGTGAGGACGGAATGGAGTCGCTCTGGTAGGAGGTGTGAGACATGAGAAAAACCTCTGACAACTGTCACACTTCTTCACATAGGCGGCCTAATCGGCGCGCATGGTTGGCCAGTAATATCCAGTAGTGATTACTCGGTGTGCAAGGTTGCGTCCCCCAGCATGGTTTTCACATTCGCCTTCATGTAACTCAGCAAGGACACGATGGGCCTCCTCTGGGCTTGTGCACTTGAGGTAGGGGCCCGAGAATGATTTTTTAAGGAGTTGGCCCTCATGTATGGTGAATCTAGCGACTCTTGTTTTTAGTCATTGTACCTCATTCTTATCGGCTGGGAGTTCGTCGTGCTCCAAGTATCTCACTATCGGAGTCATCCAACACTCGGCTAGTTCAACTCCCATGGCTTCCTCGGGCGGCTTGTTTGGTTGTTGTACCTCCCAGTTGGCAGGCCACTGCATGAATAATAGAGGGATGGACGATTGGGAAGAGCATTTGAGGTCTGAGCCGAGATTGGCAAGAGCATCAGCGTGGGAGTTCTCTGCTCTGGGGATTTGGACGATGGAGAACTCATCGAATTGGGCCTGCATCCCCTTGACCATGCTCAAGTAGGATGTCATCTTCGAGTCGCGTGCTTGATACATGTCTTGCAGTTGATTGACTATGAGTTGGGAATTAGACTTTACCTCTAGTTTCTTTGCTCAAATTTCTTTGGCTAAGGAAAGTCCAACTATGAGGGCCTCATATTCGGCTTCGTTGTTCATACACTTAAACCCACACTGTATTGCCCGTTGGATGATGTCTCCTTCGGGCGTAATCAGTACTACTCCAAGTCCGCTTCCATTTACGTTACTCGAGCCGTCCACTAAGAGGGTCCACTTGGAGGGTGATCTGCCGTTCATGCATAATAACTCACTTTCTGCTTGGGTGGTGGTATTCAGGGTGAAGTCAGCAATGAAGTCGGCCAATGCCTGGGATTTGATGGTAGTGTGAGGCTGGTATGATATGTCAAACTCACTGAGCTCTACTGTCCACTGCAGGAGTCGACCTGATAGTTCTGATTTGTGCAGTATCTTCTTGCGTGGGAAAGAGTTGAGTACAACTATTGAGTGGCACTGAAAGTACGGCCTGAGCTTCCTGGATGCATGGATGAGGGCGAGGGCTAATTTTTCCAGCTGACTGTATCGCGTTTCCGCGTCAATGAGCGACTTACTCACATAGTAAACCGGCAACTGCTTCGTTTCTTCTTCTCGAACTAGTACTGCTGAGATAGCTGTCTTTGAGACTGCTAGGTAAGAGTAGAGCTTCTCCCCGTCCACAGGTTTGGATAAGAGCGGAGGGGAGGTAAGGTACCTTTTCAGCTGTTGCAAGGCTTCTTTGCACGGGGCGGTCCACTCGAACTTCTTTGACTTCTTGAGGGCATGGAAGAATAGATGGCACTTGTTTGTCGACCTGGAGATGAAGCGGCTCAAGGCGACCACTCGTCCTGCGAGGCACTAGACGTCTTTCACGCAAGTTGGAGACGGTATATCAAGGATTGCTCTAATTTGGCCGGGGTTGGCTTCTATCCCTCTCTGAGTCACCATATAGCCCAAGAACTTTCTTGACGAGACCCCAAATGAGCACTTGGCTAGATTTAGCTTCATGTTGTATTTCCTGAGGACGGCAAATGTCTGGCTGAGGTTGTCGAGGTGCTGTTCGGCCATCAGTGACTTGACGAACATGTCATCGATGTATACCTCCATAGTGTCCCTTAGGTATTCGGCGAACATTTTGTTGACTAGCCGCTGGTAGGTGGCTCCGGCGTTCTTCAGGCCGAATGGCATCACCTTATAGCAATAGGTTCCCCTTTCCGTGATGAAGGTTGTCTTCTCTTGGTCGTCCGGGTGTATCAAGATCTGGTTGTACCCTGAGAAAGCGTCCATGAAACTAAGAAGCTTGTGACCTGCGGTTGCATCGACCATCATATCGATATGCAGGAGCGGGAAGGAATCTTTGGGACAGGCTTTGTTCAAGTCCGTAACGTTGATGCACACTCTCTATTTCCCGTTCTTTTTCTTTACAACCACAACATTCGCTAGCTATTCAGGGTAGTGGACTTCTTTGATCATACCATTGCTCAGGAGCTTCTCGACCTCTTCGTTGACAATTTGGTTACGCTCTGGTGCGAATTTCCTTCTCTTTTGTTTCACTGGTGGGTGATCTAGGTCTACTTTGAGCTGGTGGACCATTGCTTTTGGACTGATTCCGATCATGTCGGCGTGCGACCAGGCGAAACAATCTTGGTTCTGTTTGAGGAACTCTATCAGCTGTTCTCTGGTCTCGAGCTTGAGGTAGGACCCTATATGTGTCTTTCTGTTGGGATCGTCCGGATGTATCTGTACTTCATCCAACTCTTCTATAAATGGTTGATCTGGCTCGGTCGGTGGGGTTGGATGAATCTGTAATTGCTACGAAAAATTACCCTTGCCTTTGAAAGCATTCTTGTAGCAATCCCTGGAAGTTTTGGGGTCACCCTTGATCTCTCGTACCTCCCACTTAGTTGAAAATCTGATCGTCTGGTAGAAGGTAGATGAGACTGCCCGCATGTCGTTGATCCAAGGTCGACTCAAGATGATGTTGTATGGCAAGGGGCAGTCGATTACCAGAAAAATTGTCTGTTTGTTTACTCCTCCGGCGTAGATAGGGAGGATGATCTTCCCGATAGTGTACTTCTGCTCAGAGCTGAAACCAACTAGCAGCGTCAGTCGCCTGTTGATGTTTGCCTCTTCCAGTCCCATAACCTTCACTGTTTCGAGGAATAAGATGTTTGTTGAGGAGCCTTCATCTACGAATACTCTTTTCACTAGGATGTTGGTAACCTGCAAGGAGATGACTAGGGCATCGTGATGAGTAACGGCCAGGGTGACCGGCTCGTCATCTTCAAATTGAATTACCTGATAAGTGTGTGACCGTGAGGCTGGATGGATAGATTGGACTTCATAGTGGTGGTTGGCTCTAGCATATCGTTTGGCTGATGAGTAACTTACTCCACTGATCTCTGATCCTCCGGAGATGAGAGAACAGAAACCTTTCGGTGTAGGTTCTCGCGGAGGTGGTGATGGTTCTTTTGAACTCTTATGGCTGATGGTGTTCTTCCCCTTATCAGTTAGCAGATCCCGGAGGTGTCCCCTCTTTAGAAGTGCAGCGACCTCTAGTCGTAAAGCGATGCAGTCTGTGGTGTTGTGCCCATGATCGCCGTGGAACTCACACCATTTGGTTTTGTCCCTCCTCGCCTCGGGATTGAGCTTGCCCTGCCACTTAACAGTGGATCCCATTCCTTTCATAATCGCGACGACCTGGGTTGGCTCGACGTTGAGGCTGTACTCTGGTATTTTGTACCGGTTCGATCTGAACTGTCCGCTCTCGGTTCTTGTTGGCTGGCGATCATACAATTTCCTGACTCTACTCGAATTGTTTGCTGGGGGTTGGTAGCGGTGCTCTGCTGGCCTGTGCTCTGGTTTTTTGTCATTCCGCCTTGAATCGTATCTGGAGTGAATTGTTCGGTTTATCTCATCCTCCTCCCATCTTATTTGGATCACTGCCCGGGCCAGGGCGTCTTCCATTGTTGTGCATCCCAGCTTTGTAAGCTTTTTGTATAGCTCTCCGTCTGGGAGGAGACCCTTCCTGAAGGCATCTACGGTTGTCTCAAGGTTGCATGCTGGGATGGAAATCTTCTCTTTGTTAAACCTGCTGACATACTTTCTCAATGGCTCGCCCCTTCTCTGATATACTCTGTACAAGTCGGCTGACAGCTTCTCGAGTTTCTTGCTGCTGGCGAACTGTTCCACAAACGTGTTTGTGAGTTGAGCAAACGAATCAATGGATCCGTTCGGGAGGTTCGTGTACCATTGTAGTGTTTTCCACTGCTTGTACGAGGCTATGTGATCGTCCAAATCGGTTGTGCTGTCATACATTTTCATGTTAGGGATAGTGAACTTCTGAGGTATGTCAGCTAGGGCGATCTCGTCCACGAAGGGTGAATCCGCGTAACAATAGGGCCTACTCTTCTTGTTTGGGACCGGCGTCGCATCACTGCTTCCACATCGGCTAATCTCTTAGCTAGCACCTGTTCCATAGGAGAAGGGAACGCCACTAGGTCATCCTGCATGACCGGGTTGGCCTTTGCATTTAACTTTGGTACAATCTGTTGGGTCATCCCTCTTGGGGTAGTTTGACGAGTCCCTTCATGCGTTCCCTGATAACATAGATCTTCGGTCATTCCTTCCAGTTGGATAACCCCCATGGTAACTGTTCTGGTGTTCTGCCCTACATGGATGGTCAGGGGAGTCTTTTGATAGTCATTCGGTTGGTCAGGATGGATGGGCTCGGGTGCTGCTGGTTTAGTTTGGCCGTTCATCCCATGAGGATGAGCCGAGCCGAATGGAGTATGTGTTGTGATGGCTAGATTGAGCTGGTCTTGTGGATGAGGGCTTTCTGCCACCGGATCGTCTTGGTCTTGATGTTGGGATGAATCCGCTGAATGATGTTCTACAGGCATATCTTTATCTCCATGAATTAGGACAGAATCGTCGACAGCAGACGAGTTTAAGGGACGTGGCCTTTTGCCAGAGGCCGAGGGTCGGGGCTCCGGCGTAAGGAGAGGTTGCATGGACGGAACAGGGGTGAAGATTGGGGGGTGCTTGACCGGCAGGAACTCTAAGTCATAGAATTGACTCACCTTCTCCTTGAGGGATTGGTTTTCTGACCTGATGGACCCATTTTCCATCCGGATCGCATTGTTCTCAGTTTCCAATGCAGCCACCTTGTCCAAGTTCTGTTGCATGAGAGTGGTTAGAGCTTCCAGTTTGGCCTCGAGGCCGGGATTAGCGTTATTAGAGTTGTCAGCCATGGAAAGTTCCTCTATGCAGCAGGGTTCATCGAGCCGAATGATTGCTAGAGGCCCCACGGTGGGCGCCAAATTGTAGACGTAAAAATCTACCTATACGGAATGAGGGTTTGATCCTGTGAGGTTGAGGACACTAGCGATCCGCTGTACCTGCACACGTAGAAAAATAAACGCGTGAAGCGAACGAGAAACACCAGGGTGGTGTTTGCCGTAGGCACTCCGACGCTCAAGTCAGCAAGGTTGAAAGAGGCTAGTATAGTGAAGGCTCGGGAATAAAGAGATTACTGGAAGTCTAGTCGGAGACTGTGACTACGGCGGTGATGTAAAGCTCTCAATTAGGAGCTTTGGGTGTGAAGGTGTAATGTAGTGTCTTTTGTGAGAGGGTTGGCCTCTGTTTATATAGTGATTGTCTGGTCTCCTAATCCTGGTGGGAGTAGGAGTCCTAATGTTACTCTGATGCAAACCCTAGAAGAATTAGGGCCGCGGTAAGCTGTCTTATCAGTGTCCGGATAGGAAAGTGATTCTGATCAGGAAAGTTACTTCGAGTGGAAAAGTGTTCTGAACAGGAAAATGACTTCGAGTAGGGGATTGATCAGGAACAGGAATATGATCAGCGGGCCGTGGGCTCGGAACTCGCCTATAGGCCCAGGAAGTGAACTGGAACTGGGAGGCCCGTGCCCAAATGGTTTGGGCAGGCCGTATCTCGTATCGAATGGGACTACTCTGGCTTGGGCCTCTTTGGGATTTAGGCCTGGTCTTCTCTTCACAAATGGTCCTGCTTCCCTATTTGGGCCGAGGACGATTTTTGGCCTTAACAATGCAAACACAACCAAATTTTGCTTAACAATTAAGATTTAGATCAACTAAATATTAATCTCAAAATTGAAGTTTACTAATATAACGATTTAAGTTATACATATACACATATTTCTTTACCTTCTTTCACGCAGAATATAGGGATTATATTTATGCATAACACAAAATTCAAACATGAAGGGCAGATATGTAACATACTACTACAATTTGCACGCTTCTTATTGGTAGACCAACAACTACGAGTCAATAAGTACTGGTTAAACTGCTTCTTACTATAAATTTGACACCCATTGTCATTTTGTTTTAACCAGACTGTTGAATTACCTGATACAGCCGTCCAAAATCAAAGGAGATGCAGAGAGTGAAAGCTTTAGCCTATGCTGGGCTCAACGAGCTTCCGGCTCAGTTCATCAGGCCACCCACTGAACGTCCCGAGAACAGTAAGCCCATCTCCGGGGTGACTGTACCTGTGATATCCCTATCACAGCCACGCCATGTCATTGTAGAGGAGGTCTACGAGGCATGCAGCGAGTGGGGTTTCTTCCTGGTCACCGATCATGGGATATCGTCAGCTTTGATCCAACAGCTACAAGAGGTTGGCCAGCAATTCTTCGGGCTCCCCCAAAAGGAGAAAGAAGCCTATGCAAATGACCCAGCAACTGGCAAGTTTGAAGGGTATGGTACAAAGATGACCAAGAATTTAGATGAGAACGTTGAATGGTTGGATTATTTTTTCCATGTTATGTCACCGAAAGCTAAGACCAACTATGATATATGGCCCAAACATCCACATACCTACAGGTAACCTCAAGTTTTATACGTTCAAAATAATATTATATATAAATTAGTTTTCATATATCATATATTCAAGATACATTGAATATTTTTCTTTTCTCTATTTTTTTAATTCAAATTTTAGTATGATAGAAGTTTAATGTAATAATTTGTCCAAAATGAAATGTAGGTTTGATAATAATGATCATACTTGTGACGCAGGGAAGTGACAGAAGAGTACAATAAGGAAATGTTAAGGGTGACAAATGAACTCCTGGAGCTTCTTTCAGAGGGGTTAGGCGTGGAAGGGAATGTTTTGAAATCCCATTTGGGTGGAGAAGACATAGAACTAGAAATGAAGATAAACATGTATCCACCTTGTCCACAGCCTCAACTGGCCCTGGGAGTTGAGCCTCACACTGACATGTCTACACTCACCATACTCGTCCCCAATGATGTTCCAGGCCTTCATGTATGGAAAGATGGGAATTGGGTTGCTGTCAATTACTTGCCGAATGCACTCTTTGTCCATGTTGGTGATCAAATTGAGGTAAATGTATTCTCTCATTCATTAGACTTAAAAAATATAATGTTCATATTAAAATAGATCTCATAATTTATGTGATGTTTCAGGTGTTGAGCAATGGGAAATACAAGAGTGTTCTTCACAGGAGTATTGTAAACAAGGAGCGTATGCGGATGTCATGGGCAGTGTTCGCTGCTCCTCCACATGAGGCATTGATTGGACCACTTCCAGAGCTCGTGAATGACGATCAAAAGCCACCCAAATACTCAACCAAAACCTTTGCTGAATATCGATACCGCAAGTTTAACAAGCTCTCTCAGTAATACCACTTCCATGTCTTGATGCGATCGTACTATCTGTCGTTTCAATAACTACTACCTGTAGCCGAGTCGAACTCACGTGCTATTATTTTTTATTTATACTTTAAAAATAAATTTGAAGTAAATTTGATAATTTTATTATTAAACGAGCTGTGAGTTTTAGTAGTTAATATTTTATTTCTTAGTTCGTTTTATAATTATACAGTTATATGTTTACAAGTATTTGATAAATAAATAAATATGATGGTTAAAGAATCATTGGTGACAGCTGTCGAACTAAAATCGGGGGAGATATTCTATCTGATCTCAATCAAATCGTTACTTATGAGTTATGGCCGCAGGTCATTATCTATCATAGTCTATGATTCATAGACAAGACAAGGATAAAAAATCATTATCTTGCTACTAAAACCTGCGGTTGTAGTTGTACAAAGAATTTTAATAGCTGACTAGATAGAATAGTTTGTTGTTCAATCAAACTTTTTTATTGTAGGATAATGGGCCCCTCGGCCTAGAATTTTTTTTTTTTTTTTTTTTAGAAAAAGCTTTTAATTTTGGATAAAAATGTCCCTTAACCACTTAAGCGTTCAAACAAGGCGGTAAAAAATTTTAGATATATTATTCAAGAAGTGTTGGGTTTGATTCTTCTCAATTATTAATAGAAATAATTATTAAAGAGTATCTTTTAAAATATGGAGTATGGTACAAGAATATCCTCAATTTAAATTACTAGTTATACCCTTCATCTTTTATCTTTTACTCATGTGTTATGTACTTATATCGTATGATATTTACTTCTCTACATGACTACATACCTCATAGAAGGTGGGCAGGACCGATTCGGTTCTGTTCATGGTCCCAGGCTCATGACAAATATTTGGGACCAGAGGGCCTAAATAATTTTATTTACTCCCTATATTTTTTATCTATTTTAGATTAATCGAAAATATATAGGGGGTTTAATATAATTTTTAAGGGTAATTTGTAAATTTTTTAATTAATTAATAATTAAATATAAATGAATGGTTAAATGTTAATGAATAATGACTTAATTTTTAATTGGTTATAAATTTAAGGTGTTTTTAATTTAAACTTTAAGGAGATAATAATAATTTAATTTTAAGTTTTAACATAAATATAATATTCACAGTTCACAAATAAACTGTTAAATAAATTTGATTTTATTACATTATTATTTTACATCGTCAATAGTATTTACATCCTCAAAATCTGTGTTTCTGAAGAAGTTGAGTAGTTTGGGATCTTCAAGGTGCCACTGATCTCTTATGTCCGCATGAGGCCAATCTCTTAAACATGTTATGACTTCAACAATCTCACTGGATAAAGAACATCTTCTCTCTTTAACAATGCAGCTATTAATTGAGAATGTTGACTCGGATGCAATTGTCAAAACTAACACAGATAAAATATCACGTGCCATTTGGGCTACTATAGGGAATTGACTTGCATTGTGGTTCCACCATTGAAGTACATTCATCTCACGCTTCTCCTTTGTGATCATGTAGGACATGTCCATTTGTAGGTATTGATACAACTTATTTGATCCAAGTTGTTTGTACGAGCTGCTACTTCCACCACCACCGCTGTCACGTTCCACAAACCTCCAGATGCTCATTCCTTGCCATCCTTGGTCTTCATCGGGGTTGCCTCTACTGGCACTGGACACTCCAATGTGCCTAGTCTGATACAAAGAAAAAAAGTTTTCCAATTTTTTGTTAAAGTCTATCAAATAAGAAATTTAGTCATATTGTAAATTATGGTATATCTCAGCAATCATACGATTAAATACACTTAATTTAAATCTAGGATCTATAATAAGACCTAATTCATATAAGAATTGAATAATATCTAACCAATATTTCCAGTATTTTTTTCCATTGGAACAACAATGTCGCACAAATCTTTATTATATCTATATGTAACAAAAGTTGTAGAAATTCGAAGTAAACTATCTAATGCTACATTAGTAGTAAGATAATAAATATCGCTTAATAAATTAGTGGAATTATAAAAAAATTTAAGAATCGAAAAAAATAGTTGCTACTGACGATGAATCTGATAGTCGTGTGCACCATTTCAATCATCGAATGTATAGCTTTTAAACGTACTTTAACAATCAAATTGATGATGTGGTAAGCACATCTCTAGTGAAATAATTTGCCTTCACCATCGGATCCAATCTCTTTTCAAATAAAGAAATTGCCAAGGTGCTGCATTATCAAGCGTTAGCACCACAACTCTCTCAAATAATAAATATTCTTGTAAAACTTCAATAATTGTAAAATAAATAGTTTTAGCATTGTATTTTTCATATAATGCTTTAAAAACCTATTAACTTTTGTTGTAAATGCCAACCACAATCTAGATAATGCAATGTAATGTGACACTCAAAAAATCTATTTTTGATCTAGCAGCCCATATATCTGAAGTAAGTGCAATAGATATGTTCCTAAAATTTTGAAATTCTTTTTTAAGTTGATTTTTATTTTATCATAAAGGTTTTTTATGTCCTTTCTAGTTGTAGCTCTACTAAAAGGCGTAAATGTTGAACGAAAAACGGTTTTAATCATTTGAACAAAATAAAGATTTTCAGATAAAGAAATAAGAGAGTTCGTAGCACATATGAATTTTGCTATTTCCTCACGTACTATGAGTGCATTGTATTGCCATGTTGAGAGAGTTCGGGATTGTGAATTAAAATTAAGTTGAGTTTGAGTTTTTCCTACATGGTGCGGTTGAACTTGAACAGGACTGGTGGGATTGCTGCATTTATTGGGGGTGCTTCTTCTACAAGTTTCGCCGCATCATCGAAGTCTCATTCTTAGCGTCGATAATGGTTGAACAAAAATTACATTTCCCGCACGTCTCTTCCCTCAACCCATTTAGCTTTGGCCGTTTTGATTTGGTGAAGAATTGTCATACCCCAGACACGACCCTCTTTGACGATCGGGCTGTGGAGTTGCAGTTCGCTTGTGTTTGGTTGGACCCAGGCTCGACCGTTTGTGGTTGTGGAATTGGACTTGTTGCCTCTTGAAAGGGAGAAATGGATCGAACCCTTCCATTTTTTCGGTGGATGAAACGTCAAACTAATTTGGCGATGATCCTTCAAATGCATAATTTCGAAAATCCATTATGAATTTATAATAAAATAATAAATAATTTAAAATTAAATAATAATATGAATAATAAATGAAATTGAAAAATGGAAAAAAATTAAATAATATGAATAAATGTAAATATAAATATAAATTGAACTGAAGAGAATTTGAGAATTGGAGTGGAGAGATTGAGAGAAAAGAATAGATTGAGAGTTGAGTTGTGAAGAAAATGGAGGCTTAGGGAGGGTTTTATCGTTGACGCTTGGGGGGGAAAAGTGCGCAAAAAAAATGTTCCCCCCTCTTTTGCCTCTCAACGGTAAACTGACCGTTGGCTACTAAATGGATTTCATTTTTATAAAATATCATTTTAACCCTCATATTTATTATAAATTTTGTTTTTGGCAATTTTCTAAAGGTCGTTTCGAAAAAAAGGTTTGGGCCCGAGCACAGTTTGGGCCGGGTTTTAGGACCGGACCACCACAAGGACTGATCCTAAACCAGGTTTTTGGGTCTGATCCTAAATGCCCACCTCTATATCTCACTCTAAAATTTTGAAAGTATTATAGCATAAAATTAAGTTTCAATTTATGGGTTTTAATTGTTTTACTCTCTTGAAGTCCAAATTAACATTCATTTTTTAGGTACTTATCTCAAACTTTGATTTGTAATTATTTAATCCAAATGTTAGTTTCTAATTATTATAATATTACTAAATATACATATATTTATATAGGCATATATTTCTACATGATAAAAATTTGACTTTAGCCCGTCTAAAAAAAAAAAAAATTCTTAAATTACAACAAACTCAAATTTTTACTCAAAAAAACCAGTAAATTGGTACGACTGAATTGAAATATAGTAATATTTATCCACAAAAGCTTTTCACCTCCAAGTAACAAAAATGATTATATCAAAAAATGTTACGATAAATAAGGCAAGTATTGCATAAGCAGTCTTTCTGTATCGTATGACATAAAAGATGATCAGATAATGGTGAAGGAGAAGATGCTCAAATTAGCAAGGATTAAGCTATAACTAACAAAAAGTGCTCTGTTTTCTTTGTCCCGAAATTCTTGATTGGAGCTTTCTTTGGAACCCAGTTGCCCATCTTTCCACATCTTCACATGCTTCCCATATCTTGCTCTCCTTTTCCCAATCCCATACATCCTTCATAGTTGAATCCATTCCTCCTCGGTTCAGTTTATTGACCCTTCTAACTTCCTTTGAAACCAAAATTATGAAACATTTAGGAGTAATAATTGAGCGTCCCAAGACTCGTTATTTTCGAATTATGAAATTTAATGTGAAAAAAAAAAAAGTAAAATATTTCAAATGATCTTGAGATTATTAAGATATTTCCTGACTGATTAAATAAATAAATCTCCGTGATGCTAGAAGAACTGTAATACTAAACTAGACGGCTGTAACAAGAAATTTTACCTTCCTGGAGAATGACAAAAGGTACACCAGCCGATCTGCATATTTTAGCCCATCTACGCGTAGATGAAGAGGTTGTTTCAATACCAAAAGTGCTCTATCAACATCGATAAAGCCTACTTCCACCATCCTCTTCAAAACTCTAGCCTGGAAGGTTTTCCCTCTATAAAAAATAGGAAGTTGCTCCTTTTAGTTTCATTTTTGAATTTCTCTAATAAACTGATTAATACCAGACTTAGAGCCTAAATTGAAAGGCAAAAAGCATAAAAATTTGATGCATACAATATAGAAATTCTAGGAAATAGGCCCTAAATGGAGTCAAATCAGAGAAGAATTATGAGGAGGAAACAGCACACTCACAAACCTGCTACAATCCCTGAGCGGTGATCGAAGCTCTGGAGCAGGTATAAGACCTGCAAGCATTGCAGACTCTCCCAAACTCAGAAGAGATGGATGCTTTCCAAAATAAAAAATCGATGCTGATTCAACGCCATAGATGCCATGTCCCCAGTATATCTGTAATGTGCTATTACCTGTGTTACATTTCACATCTGCAAATATAAACTACATACTAAAATTTATATGGCATTCACCTTCTTTACTTTTTAACACCCTTTCCATAGTCTTTGTTAGCATAAACTTAATACACTAACAGGAAAATTTCCTAGTCCAGGTATATTTCTGCACTGCTTTTTTAGTTACAATTTATAGTATGCATTTTGTAATGACAAATCTTAAATCAAAAAAATATTTTCAGTGTAAAGGAAATAAGTTTAGGAGGTAATGACAAATCTTAAATCAAAACAATATTTTCAGTGTAAAGGAAATAAGTTTTACCTTACTAACGTAGGAGCTCAATATTTCCCATTTTGTCATTGCCCTCTCTAGAGCTAATGCCAGCACCATCTCAACAATCTTTCTTGAGAACGTGCGGTCATTTTTTAGAAAAGTATTCTTCACAAGCTGCAATGCATATTTCAATATGTTAAGTAACATAGACAACTAAAATTTGTAAAAGCCAATGGTTTGAAATCAACTGAAGAAGAAAGAAACTACAAAACAAGAGTTCCAGAATTCAGAGCATGTGATTGCTCAAGTCCTGGAATAGCTGATACAAATCTTTCCTTGAAGCTGTTATAAATAAATAATAAATGGACTCATATCAATAAGCCAATGGTTCTGCACTGATTAAAATAATGAAAAAGTAGCTCAAGCACCAGCAGTCAAATTGCAGTGGCCAAAGTTGTATAATAGCAGGTAGGTTATTAAAAAGAGCCACACCAAGAAAATGGCCTCAAATTATGATAGAAATTTTGACAACCTCATCCGCCAAATTAGTAAATAACAGCTTGAAAAAGTTCTATAACGAAATTTGATCCAAGCGAATTGAATGGCATAAAAGAGCCAAAGTGAACCAAGCATGATGTTTGAAATTACTTGAAGTACATATGTTCAAACCAACTCAAATAACGTTGTTGATAAGGACTGCTGTCTTCAATAATTGGGGATTCCTTTCCTGGTTACTTGTGCTACAGTGATTACTTTTATAATTGAAACCTAAACCCTTTATTCTAACTCCAAGAAAGTTTCCAGAGGAACATACCTGAAATTTGTTCCTCATATCCAAAAAAGAAAAGCTTTTAAGAGAACTCATAACCACAAAAAAACAGCACACCAATCTTACCGAACAAATTGATGTAAAGTAGTGACCACAAGTCATGGTTTTCTTTCAAAAAATTATGTCTGAACTACATCAATGCATCAAGTGGATCTAAGGAACAAAACAGTAATATCAAACTGGCTGGTTGAACCACTACATCTATGCTTAATTACCATTTCCCGCCTTAGGTTTCATGAAATTAATTTACACCCTCAAGTATCAAAAATAACAATTTACCACTGTCATTTAATTTTGTGTGTTAGGCAGATGATGAAACCCTGACGGAACAGTGAATATGGGGGTAAATTGTTATTTTCTACTTGAGGGAGGATGTTTTTATTCAATGAAAACTCAGGGAAGTATAGCAATTAACTCTAGAGTAGAAATAACATAATAACTTCCAGATGGAAAAATATTTATTATAGAAAATAAATGGACAACTTATAGTCTGGTGCTAACTCTAATTATTCAACCCAAATAACACTTTGTATAAGCCATACATATCATAAACATCCATTGAACCCTGAACTTTGTGAAGTACAAATTGAATAAAATGAACAATTTAAACTTTGAACCACGTGCACCTTATGACCATTAATTCATCCCCAATAAACTATACAGAGCTCCCAAAATATCATCCACTAAACCTTATCTTGGGCCAGAAACCTGCTGTGAAGAGACATAAGAAAAACAAGTATTTGAGCCAATTCTAGTGCTAGTGGGGGAAGCATCTGCTTGCGCAAAAAACATAACATCACTTTGCCCATTTTCTTCTTCTATCATAGACGCCTCAGTAAATCTACGCCCATAAAAGCGCAAGAAATTCAAAGACTTGAGTCTTGGATGACCTAAAGGGATCTCTCCTTCTAACATGCCAACAACAGTGGACATGTTTGGCCGTAATACTGGTTCCTCGTGAACACAGCACAAAGCGACTTGCACCAATATTTCCACCTCTTTACTTGTCACTCGCTTTTCTAACCTGGGGTCCACAAGCTCCAAGTACCTCCCTTGCTCATGCATTTCCAGTGCAAGTAGTGGAAAATAAACAAGTCCTGACGCTGATGACGATGACGAGTGAACTCCACTACTATTCCTGTCATCCAAGCTATGGCTTTGAGATCGTACCGAGCAATTTTTCCTTCCACTCACAAGTTCAAGCAGTACCATTCCGAAACTATAAACATCAGTTTTTTCTGAAATTGCAGAGTTAGTAAGCCACTCAGGTGCAAGATATCCACGAGTACCCCTCATTGTTGTAAACAGACTAGACTGTTCAGGAGTTAAAAGCTTTGAAAGCCCAAAATCTGAGATCTTTGCCTGAAAATGATCGTGCAAGAGAATGTTTTCTGGTTTGATATCAAAATGGATGATCTTATGTTCACAACCACTGTGCAAGTAAGCAAGTCCACGTGCAGTTCCAAGTGCTATATCGAACCTCTCTTGCCATTCTAAAACGGGACCATTTCCAAAGAGGTTACGATCCAGTGAGCCACGATTCATATACTCATAAACTAATAGGCATTTTCTTCCTTGGGCACAAAACCCTCTCAATTTGACCAAATTGACATGGTGAATATTCCCAATAACTGCAATCTCAGTACAGAATTCCTTTTTCCCTTGAACACCTAAATTTGTGATCTTTTTCACTGCCACAACAGTTTTATCAAGCAGTGTACCCTTGTATACAGCACCAAACCCGCCTGATCCAATCAAGAACTTAAAATTATCAGTAGCCACCTCAAGCTCTTCATAGTCAAACCTTTGAGGTAAGCCTGGGATGTAGAAGGTGTCTAGGTCTCCAGAGGAAAGTGAGTTCCGGTGGCCTAACTTCTCATCCATAGCATTTTTGAGTCTCCATCTTCTCCACCAGAGGAAACTTAGAGCTATTAACAGAAAGAACCCAGTGAAAGGTAAGAGCACAAGAGCAGCCACTGGAAAGTCTTGATTTTGGTCCCTCAAATCATTGTTAGGATTAAAGTTTGTTAGAGTAGGCCCAATAAGAACTTTGATGTAGCCCAGCAGATTAACATCACCTCCACTGCCCAACATAATGGAGCCCAACACGTTCTCAAGTACATAGCAAGAACCTGATGAATTTTCATAGAAAATTCCTAAGCAAGAGCATTCCCGTGAGCAGAAATCTTGACAAACTGACAAATTTACTCCGTACTTAATAGGCTCAGAGAAATGATTAGAGAAGTAATCCATCCCATAGCCGACCCCTGAATATGAAACAACAGATGAATTCAACTGACTACCATTTCTGGTTGATTGACAAGCAACTGGAAGAGAATGAGAAGCGTCACTTGGCACACAGCCAGTTGCATTCTGTAAAGCTACATGGAATTGTGTTGGACATGAACAAGTAGGGGAGCTGGATGTAGTTCCATCAGTACACAATCCTACTCTGCCACAGATGAATGGGATTTCACAACCATCATCGGGCCCCACAAACTGCTGTTCCAAGCCATCAGCAGATAAACCAAGTACAGTAAACTGGCCAGAGGAATCAAGCCTAGCAATTTGGAAGTTGGAAGGTGATAAGGCCACCTGAATGACCACTGCTGATCCATTATTACCAAACAAAAAGAGACCCGTTCGGTTAATAGCCAGATATTCCACCACATAATTTGAGTTCCAATAAGCCTTTGTATTCATTGACAATTTCCAATATGTCTGTCCATGCCACTGTAGTATTGCATCTGAAGCTCTAAGTGTAAGGCTATAATCACCTGTTGAAAAGTTGTTATCTGATACAGCACTAGATAGTAACATCCCAGAAGCTAAGCGTTGTCCAATCACAATTGTGTCTGTTGGGTGGTGGAAGCTCTCCCAAAGAGAGCCATTAAACTGATCAAGTAAAACAAGATTACCCATCTCAGTCAGCTGTAATGCATGCACTGATGAGCTCAGTGGTGGAGTTGACCATTTGAGATTTCTATTTTGATCAGAAATTGTAATTCCTTCGAGTGTAAGATACATTTTTCCAGAACTTGAAATTGAAGTATCACGATTAGCAGACCAGATGATGGTGTTGGATGCAACATGGATGATGCACAAGTAAAAGTTCATTTGCTGAGCTCCAGGATTGAAGATAGCAGCTCTAAATGTTCCATTACGAGTATACAAGAAGGCCCCACTATAGTCAATAAATTGAAAATGTGAAGCAGTGAAATTTGGATATATGAACTCTGAGAAAGTAATACCAGAGACAAGAGCAGGGAAGAAGAAACTGGTAGCAAATAATAAGAAGAATTCCATACAGAGGATTGATGGGAAGAAGAACATAAAGGAATGAGAAGAAAGGTCTGATGTAGAGGAACTGCTGAAGGCAGATCATTTCTCCAACTCAGTTTCTGCATCTAGAGTTGACTGATGAAAATCTCTCTCTACACTGACTAAACCCTGATTGGTGCCGTAAGATAGAGTTAATCTTTTACTCGTTGCTAGCATCAGCTAGGGATGTAAGTTCTGAATTTTTTTAGTGCCAGTCAAAACCTGAGGAAGGCTTTATTTATTCTAACAAGATTGGTGATTCATGCACTAAGACCTCTTTCTTCCTCTAGTTTATTCCTTTTCATCATCTTCCCTTTTCCAAAATGCTATATGCATAACTAAACCCATGTTTTTTAAATTATATTCTTCTACAATAAACAACACTCAATATTCAAAGGCATTTATTTAGTCTAAAATTATTGGTGCTACATGCACTAGGACACATTTCAAACTTTCTTCATAATATCCTATTCACTCAAGTATTCATCAAAAACACCACATAAACAATAACCACTGCTTACGACAACCCAGATAAACAACACAATAAACAAAAGAGAACATAAAAGGTAAACAATGCCCACTAACCGACACCCAAAAAAAAAAAAATGCCGACTTGATTGAGTTAAAACATCGAACACTTGGCATTCACAAAACAAATACATCATTTACCTGCTGAGTTATTGTGCTCCCGCCACCGCGAGCCGATAACGACCAAATTGCACGAGCAATCCCAACTGGGTCGACCCCAAAATGGGAAAAGAACCGTTTGTCTTCATAAGAAACAATTGCTTGCCATAAATGTGGAGGATAAGCTCTTGTTTTGGGCTCATTTTTTTGAGCGAAAGCCACTAGATTTCGCCAACGAAGAGGGAAATTTGACAGAAGAGCGCTGGAGAAGAGCCGGAGGAAAAGAAGGGTCAATGAGAATGTGAAGAGAAGGAGTAGTTCTTGAACGGGTCTGTAATTTCCTTTGAATGGATTGTTTTGAGAGAAAGATGTTGGGTTTAGGGAGAACACTCGGTTCTGGAGTGAGTTGGAACGAGTTGAGAGAGTGTAGGAGAGTGAAAGTGTGAGAGACTGAGTTGGAACCGAGTTGAAAATGAAATGGTATGGTGAATTTCGGTGATTACGGAGTTGGGTAATTGGGTTGTTTTTGAGAAGACAACAATAGTTAGCAATTGATGACATTTTACATGTTGAAATTGTTGGGTAATATCGTTAACAAGTAACCGTTATATCATATATGCAGTTCAAAGTTCAAGCATTACAAACATAGTAAATCATAATTAGCAAACTTTCAACCCTATATTCAAAGATGAGAATATCATTATGTATAAATGAATTCACCCTAATTGCTTTGTGTTGACGCTTGATTTCGGACGCCAATGACTTGTATGTGAGAAACGTTGAGCTGACTCAGGAGACACACGTGATGGATCCATGAGATTTGAATATGGAGCTGAGATTATATATTTTGCAGAAAAGTAAATAAAAGATTGGCAAGAGGGAGTTTTTATAGTGGTTTGGATGCAACAAGCGACTCCTACATCCACTGTTATTTTATTGATCTCTCACTATTTCTATGATTTTGCCCGTAAGGCATATAAAGATGAAGAAATACAGTGTTTTTACAAAAAGAAAGAATTGAAACTCAAATCTCAGCCTAGCCTCCCGCCTCCTTCTTCGTGAAGAGAAATGCCTATTTATTCCCTCAAACACTCAATGTAATGAGTGTTTTGCAAGCTACCTTGACACATGGAAGGCTCTCGTCCATTCATCTCTTGAAAAGAGATATAACTGGTGAGAATATCTTTGGGGATTGGGTTTGGCAGCTGGTACAAGAAGACATTAAATGAGCTGATATGGGCGTGACTTTTTAGGCATAACACTTTGAATTTATTCCATCTAATCATACATGTACAATTAAATTCTCAGCAACGATGAGAATCAAATTTTTTTTAATTTTAAATCTTCCCAAAATCCATTATCAATATTTCTAATTTTCTACCAATTAAATCAAAGTTTGGCAACAAGAAGAAGCATCTCTTACAGCTAAATCTGTTTTATTATAATCTCTCACACCATTGATTTGCAATTATCTTCGTGAGGGGAGGAGATTATATGAAACTGATTGTAAATCAATAGAATGGTTTAAGAAAGTGTAGCTGAACAGGTAGTTGGCAAGTGAAGTGTCAATATTTTATGAGCTGCTGAGTCCAAATCCTCTACTGGAGCTCTTAGTTGACAGAAAGTCTCATAATCCCAAAAAATTAGTTAAAATACGTGAAAACTGATTTGAACACCCCGTTGATAAAAAGAAAAAAAAAAAAATTCTTCTTTTGCATTTAATTCTTAATTATGAAAGTAAATTATTAGCAGAATAATTTCATATTTGGAATTTGTAGAAGCTGGGCCTGGTGCAATTATTTAAATGAAGCCCAAACAAACAGTCATCATTAAAGTCTAAACTTTGTAAAGCGTAAAGCTCATTTTCATGTAAGTTGTAACAACCGGTGTTTACGTAGAGTGAACGGCAAGAAACAGGAGAATATATGTGGTAAGCAGTAAGTGACCGACCATCGTGACATGGGCAGTATAAAAATATAAATGCAAGCTTTTAAAGAATCAATTGATGCAGATTGCTGAATATGTAACTCTTTTAAAAACAATAAATCCATATTTTAAAGGTTCTGAAATTAAAAAATTGCAACTGTCAATTACATACTTTTGTTTTATTTATGGTTCACATTTTGACTTTGTCTCCTGATGTAGAGTGTTCCAATATATAATCTAATAGTTAAGATGAAGGTAGAGTTTGACTCTTTGATTATGATATGCTCTCTTCATTATAACAAATTTTGAAATTCACGTTTCTCTTATATGCCTTAAGTCATACCATGCCGGCCACACCAAATTTTTGTATCAATACAAATTCACACCACATCTTAACTTTTTTTTTTTTTTTTAAAAAACCGGAGTGGTCGAACCAGTTTGCGTACATTTCGACTATAATCCTCGAGACCTATTGAATACCCTACAAACCCAATGTTTCAAAATAAGTTACAAATGTAATAAGTAATCCTAAGATTCGAACTCAGTAAATCAATAAAGGAAACAAACCTTCTTAACTATCAGACCAATCCGTTGAGCTTACATCCAAAGTTTGCCTATAAATACTCCTAAATTAATAGCAAAAACAATAGGCAATAATCTTTCATATAATGAAGGAATAATTTTGATTAAGGGTCCAAAAGTAAGTCCATTAACATCAAAGCTCCGAAGCCCAACGGGTTTTAAAGCCCATCTGATAGCGATAATATAGGGGTGCCCTGTATCATAGGGGGAAGACAAAGCTAATGAAGCTAAATTTAGTTT